CAAGATTTAGAATCAATGAAGGGATTCATTTAGAGCACTATTGGGCTGTTCATACCCAAAAACGATATAATTCTAGGCATTGTACAAAGCATTTATATCAGCTACATATTTAGGCAGGGTGAAAATAATACATTTCAACATTTGAAGTGAAAAATGTTATGCAGAAATTTCTGAAAACGTAGTTTTTACTTTAGCTGTAGACACTAATACACACATAAATAGTTCCTTTGTAATATTTGATATATGGTGTGATTTGATAGGCTTTGTTCTGTATAAGGGAGAAAGATAAGAAAGAGAATTGGGGTTATTTCCCTTTTAAACTATCAGATGGTTCACCAAAGCTATTCTGTTCAGTATCTCCTGAAAATATTTATTTTGAAGAGTGTTTTGTGTTATTTGAGTATGTAACAATATCACTCTAGAACTTGTTTGCAACATTTATTTTGTGTTGTTTTAAATTCCCAATTAAACAGTTTCTCTTATTATGATTTTTATTTATGGAAAAATTAAAAAAACCCAATAAATTAAAGTAAAAAATAAATTTATTTATGGAAAAAGAGTCAATATTTGTTTACAATCCTGCTAGTAATAGGGAGCATAAGAAGAAACCTATGAAGTCAAGATAAATTTAAGATTAAATATGATTTGGCATTTTTCTGAACTAAAATTTAGAAAACAAAAGCTGTTTGAATTATTAAACTTTGTACAATATGGCTAAAGTTTGTGAGACAGTCAGAAAATAGCATGGTATTCTTTTAATTATATAAAATGGAATTCTATGACTTTTATGTACAGTTTTCTACAAACCATCATCAAATGAAAGCTTTCGTGAGTCTATAAACTCAAAATCTTGAAAGTTTGCTCCCTCCCACATGCTGGGGTAGACCAGGTATCTCAATAGAAAAACACTTTATATATATATACAACACATATAAAGTAATAGTGCTACATGCAATCTGTAGCTATTATAAAAGTTCATAAGAATCCATATTTTCAGTCTATGTTTTTGGAAAACTCTGGAAAACTATCAGACAAATGACATGAAGGAAAGCTTCAGTGCTTGATATGTTGGACAGAATCACTCTACCCTGTATAAGGAATGCAAAGAGCAATTATATCCTCCATTACATTCTCCTATCCATCATTTTTAACCTTTTCATTTTTCCCCAGAGAAAATGTACAAATGAGGAAATGGTAGATATGCTGCACATTCACAAGGACTGGGAACCCTCCATCCAGAAGCTAATATAATATACATTAGATACTTTACTGTTCATTATTCCACCCAAAGACAAGCGAGAGCAGTGTGTTGGCCTAGAGGTGATGACACTCGCCTCCCACCTGGAAGGTTGAGAGTTCAATCCTAGGTAGTGGCAGATGTTTCTCTATCGGGGCGCAAAAAGAAAATATCTGCTGCGAACTTCATGTAGGTGTTAGGAAGGGCATCCGTCAGTAAATGCTCAACTCCATTCAGTTGCCCCTACTCCACCTCAAACAAAGGGATTACAGGGTCATAAAAAGGAAATAAAATTCCACCCCAAAACAAGTATTGTCGACTACACAGAGAGTGACATAACAAAGACAATAAGATTTCATGTTCAAATGAATGTTATCTTTTAACTGAGTCCGAGATTTACCAAAGCACACGTGGAAAAACACAGAGTTGTAGTCTCCCTCTCTGCATGTTTTTATGTGTGTGCAAGAGAGAGAGAGAGAGAGAAAGGAGAAAGAAAGAGAGTAGTAAGGAAATAGGATTTCTCATAAAGTAATGTGTTAAATGGAGAATCAACTAGTATAATTGGTAAATGATGTTTTTCCTTAGTTGGACTTATATAGAAGCTACTTGAGTTTCATCTGCAACCGGCAGCAACATTTGTAGATTTTCCCAATGGGTGGTTTTGGGGAAATCAAAGATGGCTTCCACTTATCACCATGGGGAATCAATTGATTTCCATATAGGCCTGGCTGTTTTGTTATGTTGGAAGGAAAATCCATCTGGTTCAGTTCCAAGCCAGGAGAAAGGCACTGGAAACAAAATGGAGGCTGGAGGCTATTGGAAAGAGAGGTTCTCTTTATTGATGAAGCAGAATCACCACATGTGATTCTGGGCAGCTGACAAAATAGAGTTTAGAGTAGGGTCGGTTTTTATACCTTCTGGATTCCTATGGGGGGGGTCATGTAGAGGTCATGTAGGGGTCATAGCTGGCTCTATAGGCAAAAGAGGAAATGCAAATCCTAGATGTTTGTCTGAGCTAATTTTGTCAACCTTTTGTTTGTTGCTCATCTGAGTTTCTGTCTTGACCCAGTCTTTCTGAACGGATTACCAAATCTGCATTTCTAAAAGCTGGCCTCCTCAGTTTCTGCTTGGGGCAGGGAGACTTGGGCTGGTTGCTGTTAAGATTTTTTCACTGATGACAGTTTCTTGGGAAGAATTAATAGCTGCTGGAGAAAGAAGAAGGTAATCAGAGCTTGATAAGATTTGCCATGAACAATACATTAAACTAGTTTTAATTTCTGGTTGGACAGGAAGTTAATCTGGATAGTAGGCTTTTTTTTTAATATGCCATTTCTAAAGCAATAAAACAATTTTATTGTTTGTTTAGTTTGGGGATTCTGTTCTCTTCTTCACATTTCATGGAAAAGACACATTTATTTTATAGTTCAAAGATATGTTGTTATCACAGACAATATTAATTTGCTGTGGAAATGCTAAGACGGTTATTTGCTGTTGTATATAAAAAAGAATCCCATAGTAAACATTTTGCAAACAGACCAGCGCATCCTTTCATATTTATGTTTGAACATTAATTTAGTTCACATATCAGATGCTTGTTTGCTTAAAATCCCTTACATAGTATTTAAACAATTACGGTCTGTAATCTTTATGTATGGGGTATTATCAGATGGATAAAATAAGATTTGATAGACATTCTGGAGGGAAATCGAATATGCAAATGAAAATGAACGCAGAACTGTTAATATTTGTGCCTGACTGGCTCAGAAAAGGAGATAATCCTTAAGAGTTGATGGTGCTTTATTAAAAATTTGTAAGACATTATGAAGAACAACAGAACTGATCCTGCATGCTTTGTAAAAGTACTGAACCATGGAGACTTTTGAAAAGGTTATCCACAAATTACAGAACAATTAGAAGTACACAATTGAAAAAAAAACCCAATCCACTTAATAATTTAAAAAGTATAAAAATATGTAGTGGTCTTATTTTTTTTTTTTAATTAAATTATTAAATTCAGATGAATATTTGTTATAGCAAAAAGGGCCAGGTGATTAACATTTTATTCAAAAATTGGATAGTCATGTTTGTTTGTTTGTTTATTTGTTTTGCTATGGAATACTGGATAGTGGGTGGGAAAAATACTAAGTTTTTCCCAATAAAGGACAGCATCTGGTAGATGGGCTGAAGCTGGAAAAGTCAATATGATAGGTGCAACTGCATGATTAAAGGCCTTTTGTAATTGCATCAAACGTGGGAAAAGGGGATGGGAATTTTCCAGACATACACACACAATTTTGTATTTACAGTAGATTTTGCTTCACTAACTATGCATATACCATTCTACGCAATTACAAACATAGCATTTTACATTTTATCTGTTTTCCTCTCTTGGTTCGGCAGTTTCTTTCTGGGGGTTTCTTTCTGGCTTCCTAATGCTTTATCCTAAGGAAGAGGGAAAACAACTCTTTTCGAGGCTTGTGGGACTACAACACCCTTGTCAACTATCCTCCCTGACATCTAGCCCACTGTCTGAGAACTATAGACTTTTCCATTAGCCATTTTGTTCAATGGATCTCTTTCTTGGGTTCAGTTTCCTCCTGCTGGGCCTCTGGTGGCAGATACCTCCTCTTTGATATACACAATATTACAAGTCCATGCTGTACAATCCAAAAATGTCCAACAATCTTCTCTTCCATTATATGATGCTTTTGCCCTTTTATGTTTTAATGTTTACAACTAGAAGACAGGTGTTTTAATCAGGGATGGTATTCACTTACCTTCACTACTGGTTCGCAAACTGGAGTGCACACTCATGTGCACTTGCTTCGCTTGCAAGTACCACCTCCGCGCATGCGCACAACCTTCTGTGTATGCTCAGAGCGTCAAAAACGGGATGTGATGACATCCGGATGGGTGGGCGGAGCCTTCCACAGCCGCCATTACCGGTTTGCCCGAACTGGATAGAACCAGCTGAATAGCACTACTGGTTTTAATTAAGCTTGAAGCTTCTCTCTGTCTACATGACACAGAATAATTTTGACCCATAGACTTTGTGACTGTTGCATCATCCCAAGTCCATCATATATATATAAAAGACCAGGACTTGAATGGTCTTGGTCACTAACTCAACCTTCTTATTATTCTATCGTGCTCTTGGAACTCTGCTCCAATGATAACTGTTGTAATAGCATTTGTGAAGGATATCAGGTTGCAGCTGGTTAGAGCAAGCACTTATTAAGGACTTATGCTGATTTAATAATCTACTCCTTACCTTCTGCATAAAGGAAATTGGGTGGCTTTGTGAGATTATTGCCAATTTAATATTTTCTGAATTGTACAGATATCCTGTTTTCCCCAAAATAAGACATCCCCTGATAATATGCCCAATCGGGCTTTTGAGCGCATGGCAGTAAGGCCAAGCACTTATTTCAGGGTTCAAAAAAATATAAGACAGGGTCTTATTTTTGGGGAAATACGGTAGTTAATGAGGTCGTTAATTATTGTACTGTCCTATATTCTTGGGTGACAGGAGAGGGTCATCCTCATAGCCATTTTGGGAAGCAAATGCAGGGGAGGGGACAATGCTATCTTTAGATAATCTTGGTATGAGTAGAGCAAGGTGGGATGATACCTTAACCTGCTAATCTAAGTTTAGATTTGGGGTTGGTGAAAAAGTTTAAATCTCTCATTCCTATGTGATCTTTATAAGAAGGCTGATTGGTACAACCAACTTGTACAGTACAACTTTACTTTCTCTCTCTAGGTCAAAGGACCTAATAAAGGAAGCTATCCTTGACAATGACTTCATGAAGAACCTGGAATTATCTCAGATCCAGGAAATTGTGGATTGTATGTATCCAGTGGAATATGGCAAAGACAGTTGCATCATCAAAGAAGGAGATGTTGGCTCACTGGTGTATGTCATGGAAGGTATGTTACACAATTGAAAACTGAGAATTTATGTGAAGTATATGCGTGCTTGCTTTTTCCCTTACCTTACCTGATTGCACAGAGTTGACTTCTGGCAGACAGGAAATGTTCTGAAATTGTTCAAGACCATCATAATATTCTGGAACAACTCTTAAATGATTCCAACTTGGTTTAGGTCTGGTGTGCTGCAGTTAGGACTTATTCTAATGAGGAGAATCATTACATATCACAAGTCTCTCTGTGATTTGCTGCAGGGTTGTTTAAAATAGTCCATGTAAAAAGTAAGAAGGTTGACAAATACACTCTCTCAATAAGGGAGGCTTATATAGGACACAGATTTCAATTGCACCATCCTCACAATTCTTCAAAACTAGTGTGAAGCGCAACTTTTGATTGTCTTTTCTTTGGCCTCAAAATGCTGGAAATGGGTGAGAAACACTGGCAGCCATGTTATTTTTTTTTCCAGTTGACCAAAGGAAAAGTTGTAAACATTGGGCTCAGGTGATGTTCCACCTTTTCAGCTAACCACAACTTCTGAAGGAATAAAACTTCCTCGTTTTTTTATATTCAGGACATGAGAAATACAGTATGCAGCACAAATATGCTCTTGAGAGCTTTCTAACATTAAGGTTCCGTTGGTGGACATGCGAGTCTGGAAAAGGATGCATTTGAATTTAAATCAGCTCAAACATACCTGTTCTGAAGCATCTTTCCCCACCGCTTTCAGCAACTCTTTTAGTCAAACATCTATTGTCTTGGAGTTGTCTGGCTATTGTGAAAGCTCAGACAAAGAGGCTCCTTTTTGAAGGAGGCACTAAGAAATGCAACATGCACACCCTCATCCTTTCTGAAATATCTTTCAAGCTTTGTATCTTAAGCAATACATTTCCCCGTAACACACGTGTCATATCTCTGTCTAGCCAACGCAAAAGTAATCAGCAACAAAAATAGGAAAAAAAAAAAACTCCACTGCTAACAGCAAAGAAGATTCCCTCTCCTTGATTTTTATTGAAATGCCTTTGGAAATAGTGTTACTGTACTGGAAAAAATAGCATGGTGCCAGGCTTTATAACATGTTTCTAGCTAAGGGCAGCGTGTGTGTGTGTGTGTGTGTGTGTGTGTGTGTGTGTGTGTGTGTGTCTAATAGTTCACTTGATCCCTGGAGCTGCGATATGGGCTGAGGGAAGGATTTGATACAGGCTGTTACATAAGCAGAGAAAATCAAGCCGAGAGATCTTTTTGCCAGGGTGGAGAAATTGACTGGAAACTGACCAGGAGTATTAAGATCATGTTAGCTGATTAGTTCTCTGTATTTCTGAGGTTGCTGGGGATGCTGGGGAAAAAAAATAAAACCTTGTTGTCTGTAAAACCTGGAAGATTTGATGCAGCAAAAGTCATACGCAGACCCCTCGCGTACCTTGGCATTATAAAAAGATCCAGCTTTGTTTTAGTTAAGAGTCCAGAGGCATAAAAAGGACAGTTGGGGCTTCAAAAGATCGAGCGTCATGGAAATGAACAGAACCTAATCTGGAGCTGGTGAAAAGAAAACAGTAATTACCTTATGATTCTGTTACTGAGCTGATTGCATCCTCTATGCAGATATTCGCTGTACGGTTAAAGGACAGAGTAAATACCGAACAGACGATTCACTTGTTCTTTTGAAGACTATCTAATGCCAGTTGAATGATTAAAGGCACCACATTCCCACTTCTTACAGTTCAAAGATTGGTGTTTGGGTCAAATCCAGCTCATGGGACCTGACAATAGCTCAGCAGATTATGAAAGTTTTACTGAGATGTCTTCTAGGATTCTGTTTCCGAGATGATTTTCTTCCCATTTGCAGTCAATTCCCAAGGCAGCGGTTTTATTTTGAAGAATGCTCGAGGTTTGCGGTCTATCCTCTACTATTTCCTTATTTACTTACCCTTAAATTTTTGTAACCCTCTTTAGAATATACCTTAACTTTCTGAGTTTCCAAACAACACCCTTTGTAACATCCTTTGTAATATTGCAACATAAAAAACAAGGCAGAGTCCTTTCTCACTCTGTCAAAAGACTAGAAATTTCAAGGGCAGTATTGAGATTGGTATATGTTCTGACCCAGCTCCCGAATCACGACAAACCATCTGAAGTTAATTCAAAGATTCCTTTATTAGGAGCGCCAGCAACCCTGGCAAAAAGTTTCTCTCTCAGCGCAGGCTAACAAGTCCAGCTGGGAGATGAATAGTTGTCTGCCACATCTATTCATCTTTGCCCCCGCCTTTTATTCCCTGAGCTAGGGTGGTTTTTTGTTTTTTTTTTAAATTTGATTTATATGCCGCCCTTCTCCGAAGACTCAGGGCGGCTTACAATGTGCTCAGCAATAGTCTTCATCCTTATACAAAGTCAGCTTATTGCCCCCACAACTGGGTCCTCAATTTACCTACCTTAGAAAGGATGGAAGGCTGAGTCAACCTTGAGCCTTGGCGAGATTCGAACCCTGCAGTAATTGCAGGCAGCTGGTCTTAATAACCAGCTTAATAACAGGGTGCCTTAAACCACTGTACTACCAAGGCTCTTGCTTTGGTAGCAGTGGTGCTTTGGTGCTTTGCTAGCAGCGGTGGCTCTTCCACCCAAGCAGCGGTGGCTCTTCCTTCCCAAGAATTGGCCCACAGATTTTCACTGCTCTTCTCTTCTCTGCCTTGTGCGCATCTGTGCGTCAGGCACTGGACCCAGCTGTTCTTCCTCTTCCTCATTAGACACCTCCAGACCTGGGGGCTGTTGATCGACAGCCCAGGCTCCGCCTCTCTCTCTCTCTCTCTCTCTCTCCCTCCTTCCCTCTCCCTCTCCCCCCCTCTCTCTCTCACTGAAAGCTCCATTCCCTCTTCCCCCTCAGAGCTTTCAGGTTGCCTTGATGCTGACCCTGACTCCCACGCCTCCTCCTCATCTGATTCGGTTGCTGGAGCGGCCAGCAGCTGACAGGCCACAATAATATAGTTCTCACCGTGTAAGGATAATTAATTTTAAAATCACTGTTATTCCTCTGTAAGGGATCAAAATGGGGAAAATACAATATTTTAATGTTATCATTGATGTACAGTACCTGGATATTTGTTGTGGTCTGCCAGCAGCCTGTGGAGCTGGCGGCGGAATCGGACAGTGAGGAGGCTGGGGAGGAACATGGGCCAGTCCTGGAGTCTGGGGAAGGCCCAGATGAGGGCTCTGCGTTGGAGGCAGAGATGGGGCTAGGGCCATCTGGGAGTGATGCACGGACTCCGGAGCCCCCAGAGTGAGACAGCAGAGAGGCAGATGAACAGGAGGAGCCTGTTCCTAGTGCATGCATGCGCAGAGCTGCCAGAAGGCAAGAGCAGCTAAAGCAAAAGGGATGACTCAGGAGTAAGGCCAGGAGATGATTGGCCCCTCCCATAAGGCTTAAAAGAGAAACAAAGGCACTTGGGCCTTTTTGCAGGAAAGCAATGTTGCTAACTCTGTTTCCAGTCAGCGTCTCTTGTTTGTTTCTGAACTTCATGGGCCTTTGCCAAGTAAGGCCTTTGGCAGGGTGTCAAAGAAGATAAAGGTTGGTAATTATCCCGAAGGACTTCTTCCGAAGGACTTGTTTTGTAACTAACTGGGACTCAGCTGGGAATGAACGTAATTCTCAGCTGTTACAATAAAATAGGTTTATTTGGGATTAATTCTGACTTGTGATGACTCAGTAAGCCTAGGTCACAACTGTATCTTCATGAATTTTCTTTAATCTTCTTTTGTACATGATGTGTAATACAATGTTATTGCAGTTATGTCAGATATTCTAACAGAAGAGACACTCTCAAGAACCTCAAATAGGTTTAATAATCTGTACCCATGTATAACCATTTCTGAGATATGATGCATCTGAGAGAATGGACTATATTCTGTCACTGTGTTTTCAAAGTTTTGGGAAAAAGCAAGTGGTGTTATTGTATTTCTACATTTCCTATACTTTCAAAATATAGTAACACATATTAGAGCCCTGTTGTTGATCATAATCAGTAGTGGTAAATTAAGGTACCAATTCCGACTAAGCTAGCTGTTGTTTTTGTTGTTTTTTCTTTACTAAAGAAATGAAAGTACACTGAAACTGCAGGTAGTCCTCGAGTTATGACCACAATTGAGCCCATGATTTATGTTGCTAAGTCAAACATTTGTTAAATGAATTTGCCCCATTTTACGACTTTTCTTGCCACATTTGTTAAGTGAATCACTGCAGTTGTTAAATTAGTAACACTGTTGTTAAGCGAATCCAGTTTCCCCATTGACTTTGCTTGTCAGAAAGTCGCAAAAGGTGATCACATGACCCCGGGACACTGCAACCATTGCAAATGTGAATCAGTTGTCAAGTATCCAAATGTAAATCACGTGACCATGGGGATGCTGCAACGGTCATAAGTGTGAAAGATGGTCATACATTCCTTTTTTCAGTGCCATTGTAACTTTGAATGGTCACTAAGTGAACTGTTGTAAATTGAGGACTACCTGTAGTAAGTTTAGGTGATAATGTTATAAACAGTATAGTAGTCAAGATTCCAGCTGATGTGTTAACTTGAATATACATTATCTAATATTGTACTTTTCATATAAACTTGTACACTATATGCATTGTACATTTATATAAATTCCTCTTAGCTTTTTTGTCTATTGTTTGTTCAAGAAGGCACACAAAAATATGTTGGTAATTTTTAACTGGTTATTCATTGATCACAGAATTGAGTAGATTTATATTTTGCCTTTTAACATTTTCATGAAATATTGGGAATACATTTCCAAAATCCTTTTGTCTATAGGTCATATCCTACACTTGACCAGGTGTATGTAGGTGCTTTCTCAAATTCCTGTCTTGGATTTTAACCTACATCCTCATAGAATCAGATCAAGTTTATTAAGTCTGCCAAAACATACATTGTGTACTTTCTAATATGCTAAAACAGCTATTAGAGATAGATTAAGTTGTTGTACACCAAGACATCACATTTTGTGTCTAA